ACCATTTTCCAAATGACAAATTTGGGATGTTACAAGATCATTTCTGGGCAAGAGATCCGCTCAAAGTGCAAGTTAGGTGAATGGGTTTTTTGCTGAGACAGAATTTTATTGACAGGCTGTCAAATTCCACCTACTAACTAGCCTTTCAGAAACTAGTGCTTTTTGAGTTTCAGTATGGTATTCAAGAAAAATGCCCATAACTATGTGAAAAAGCTAATAAATGACCTCTCCCTTTCTCTGTTCCATATCTGAGTAAGGCCAGATTTTCCTCTGATATTTCAACCAAAAGGCAAAAGGTTGGACACAGAACTTGACTTCTATTAAGTCAAACATTAAAGATTTTGCAAACATAAAGCAATGTCACTCTCTCACTAAATTTCTTTCTTTAAAATATAGCTCCTTTATATTAAAATGTTATTTATGTTAGTATGCAATGTTTCTAAGTATTGTGATATTTAAGGAAATGTATGTAATATTTAAAACATATTTAGCTTTCATTTATAATACTGTAAATATCGATACCTTTCACACACATGAAATACAAACTCTTGGGAGCCTCCCTCCCTCCCCCCAAGAGCATGTAAGGATTCTGCTTGGAGAGCTGATGTCTTAAATAAATTTTCATTAGCCACTCAGGTTCACAAAGTCACAGAAAGTTATAAATGCAATGACTGCCGCCAAGAGAGGGATGTGATTGCCCTACTCAAGGTCACATGGGAGTTAGAGACAGAGAAGGGTCTAGACCCCTGATCTGTTGTGTGTTATACAATCTAAGCTTTTGTCCCAGGGCACTCTTCAGAGTGCCAACATCAGAAAGGGCAGCACCTCACCTTCCTTTTAACACACATTTGTTCAAATAGGCACCGCATCAACTCAGTTTCAGGCCCGTGTGTTTGTTGTTGTTGAGGGCAACAGCAACAAGGTAAATAAAGACATGGCTCCTGTTTGGGGAATAGTCAAGCTCACATGTAGAAGGAGAGAATACCTAAAAGGCAATCTTTATCCCATAGTGTATAATATGACTTAATTAGCATCTGGCTTATAACGTATATTTATACAACCTATAAAATTACACAATGCTATTATTTATTGCCATTTTATGTCATATTTATACCATATAATGTTTTACAACATGTTATATGTATATATATATATATATATA